TTAAGAGTGGTTGGCTGGATTAAACCAACTCTTGTTACTCTTCAGCCAAAGCAAGTTTAGGCTAAAAGAGTGGTTGGCTGGACTAAACCAACTCTTGGTACTCTTCAACTGAAGTAAGGACATTGGCTAAAGAGTGGTTGGCTAAACTAAACCAACTTTTAGTATTCTTCAGCCGAGGTAGGGATCTCGGCTAAAGAATGATTGGTAGGTATACTCATAGTTGCAATGATTAAGACCGAGATAAAGTATCTCGGCAAGAGAATGCTACCTCATGCAAGACATCAGTTGGAAAGTAAAGGTATAAGCACTAAGATAAACTGAAATAAGAGTTTGAACCAAAAAGAAGCATTCATTCAAAATTCAAAAGCAAGTACAAAAGGGTGGGGCCTCAGCCTGGTTACCATTTGTTCCCAAAAAGAAGAGAAAATACTAAATTAGTTAAAAAGATCATTTATTTCGGCGTCAAGATCAACATCAACATTAACCTGAAGACCGGTTTCAGACGAGATCTCGGCTTCGATCGGAAGTATGGTCTCTGTTGGAAGCACGGTATCAGTTGGTTGCTCAGTAGTCAGGTCTTCCACTGTAGGCTCCGCCCGAGCTAACTGATCGGCAGGATCATTGACGACCGGGGTGTCGTTAGGCTCGGTTTCATCATCATCTGAACCCTCAAGGAATTGTTGTTGAAGGGTAGCAGCGTACTCCGCTAGTGAGCTCGGTGTAAAGTATGAAGGAGGATTGAATACCTCAGCTTCAGGTCCATGACCGAGCTGCACCACGGCTCCCCTCCAACCGCATTTGAAGAACAAATCCTTAGCTGCCTCACATTGTTGCATATAAAGGGCCTCCCCCTCCTTGAAACCTGCAGCATGCGCATCATCCACCTTCTTTTTTAGCTTGACGATCTTTGCATTTTTCTTTCCTTCGAGCTTGGCCAGCTTACGCAGGTACTTGTCCTTCATCACGGTCAGGGCCTTTTGATTGTCAGCATTAGCCGAGGTAACTAGTCCGGTTAGACGGGTTACCTCGACCTCTAGCTCGGCCGTCCTCTGTTGGGAGTCTTTTAGCTCGGTGGTTTTTGCTTCAACTTCGACCATGGCTTGCCTTGTTGTTTTACGAAGCTCCAACACACGCTTGTGCGCAATTTGACTCTTTTGCATGGCCTGAAAAAGATACAAAGAAACTAATGACAAAACCAAACAAAAAGTTGGAAAAATTAGAGAGACAAAAGGAGCTACTGACCAGGATCATTGATTTTGTTGCCGACCGGATGGCCTTGAGCTTGGTCAACTGCTTGTGATGCTCCATGTCAGGGGGCAGACATACGCTCTTAGCCAGGTTGAAGGCCAGCATATGGTCTTTGTCAACCACCACAGAGTTAGTATCACAAATAGCACGGTTTTGGAAAGTCATTCTCGGAGACCATTTGGAGGAGCTAGCTCGGTTGGCACACTCCGGTTGCGGACTTGGTGGAGGGCTTGGTGGAAGACTGACTTCATCTTCATCAGCAAGGCGTTGCTCGGTTTGGGTAGTCTGGGCGCGCTTGCTTGGGCGTGATGAAGAGGATTGTTGAGATGGGAGGGCCACCACGGTTTCCTGAATTTGGTTCGGTGGTGGTACCTCGGCTCGGTTTGTTTCGATGAGAAGGGCCCTTACTCTGTTCCTTTTGGCCATCTCTTGTTCGACAATCAAAGGAACAAGATTGATCTGGGGTGTAATGACCCTCACCACTGATTACCGTTAAACATTGATTACTGATAACTGAACTGATCATGACTGATAATCGAACTGAATGAAATACTGAACTGACTGACCGAAATTGGAAATTGAATTGATTGAGTATATGTTAGTTAATTGCATTCTATCTGTTTGATAACAAGATTGATCTGGGGCAAAGTGGGGTCCGATTCGGGGGTGTCCTCTAGCAAAAAGTCTGTTACTCTGGCTTTGCGTCGGCTGCTATCTCGGTATATCGGCTCAAAATCCAGAAGCTTGACCCAACTTCTTTCAGGGTATCGTAGTGCGGGGCGAAGTGTGTCTAGGTTGGGATAATTGTATAATGACTTAAGGTGGGCTGAATCTGCATAAAGAAGACAACTGTTAGTTCGATTCAGAAATAGGAAACCGAAATAAAAGAGAAGCAGTCAAAGAAACCGAAGTAATTATACCGGGGGTTCCTTTCTTCCAACTTATACTACGGCCAGGGATCTGGGCTTGGTGATTTTCAAAATTCCCAGATACCCAGAAGAAGTCATCGTCGTTCAAGTCTTTATCCGGTGTGTCCTTTATTATTTTCTCTCGGCGGCGACGTATTCTAAGATGATAAACCCAACCATCTTCTTTCACACCTATGGAGTATTAATGGAAGATCTCGGCTAGACCGAGGTTAATGCCAGCACGGCGGTTTAGTTCGGCTATACCATTTATTATACGGTATGAGTTTGTGGAAAGCTGGGTTGGGCAAATTCTGGTTTGCCTAAGGAATTCACAAAGAAATGGTTGAACAGGAAATCTTAGTCTGGTTTCTACTATGGACAAAAGGGTGAAGGGTACAAAACCTTGGTTCCCCCATGGAGTAATATCTTGCTTGGCTAAGGTGAGGTGGACATCGTCAGGGATGTTGTACTCCCTTCGGAATTCGGCCAAACCACCAGGTGTCTCTACTAAGAATCTATACTTCCCTATTTATGTCTTAAGTTATAAATAAATTAAAGCCGAGTGTTAGATCGGTTAAAGA